CAATGCAATGCTGTTTGGGGCATATTTTCTATTTTGTGTTTTTAAGATTGCAAACAATTTCCTGATACTCAAAACCAGCCAGTAAATATTAACAAAATCAGAAAAAAAAAAACTCCCAAGATTATGAAAACTACCATGAAAACATCTGTGCCAAAGTCGATATATAAAACCTAGGGATCTTTTGTGGAGATGATGGTGGCATAACACATAGAACTTCAAATGTGAATTCCTGGTTTGAACAGTCTGGTAGTCACAGAATGGCACATGGGAATTCATGGCTCCTAGAAATTAAATTATTTTCCATCAAGGATAGGATGAAACTCCTTTCTGAGGTCCAAATTACCTACCTATCAGGGACTAAGGCCTAGCTTCTCAATTTTAACCCAAAAACCCAGGAGAATTTCCAAAGCTATCCTTAGAAAGAATTATTTTTAAATTTCTTTTTGGTCCTTCTAATTTTTTATCATCCCTGATTCTCTCCTCTCTTGCATTCTGCCAAGAGAGGTAGAATGGGACAGTACAAAGAAACATGACAAAGTAACAAGTACAGCATCACCAGCTCCAGCAAATGTACAAATTACGCTAATCCTACATCTTACTGCAAGAATTTCAGCTGGGTCACAACACATGGTCTCATTAACATCAGAGCTGAGATTTGTGAGCTAAAAATTTACTGCCCATAATAAAGGTCAGTGGCTCCCATCTCCTACTGAGCTTGCTTATATGTCCTTTGTTTTAATATCTACCTCCTGTTAATTTTGTGTCCCCAGCTTTCATGAATATCTGTAGTGCTTCTGCTCTTGTTACTCGAGAGTGCTTGAGGAAAGTAGAAGTGAGGAGGGGGAAAGAACAAGAGTTACTGTTGTGTTTTTCAAGTTCTGAATTGCAGAGCTTTTCCCACTTCCACCTCTCCCCAAAGAAGTGGTGGTAGGTGCTCTAATAATGAGGAATACTAGAGGTTTTAAATCCTTGCTTGCCACTGGCTGTTTTCCTCTCAGTGGGTAAGGAAAGAGGATGGCACCCAACCAGTGGCATAGGACACAGGAAGAAGCATGGAAGCTAAATATTTCATGTTATTGATAAGATATTTTAGAACCCAAGAGCAAATTTAAAACATAAGCTAAGAGATAAATTACCTAAACTTGCTAAATTGCAGCTCTTCTGACTACCAGCAGAGAAGGCCAGCAGACACATCTAAGCAAATGGGTAATATCGCTCTAATACAGTGACTCCACATGATTAATTATAGTATCAAAGCACTTAATTAAACCCCATAATTAAGAAACATTGCACAGGAAGGTCAGCACTATTTTGTACTTGTGAAAACTGGAGAAAGGAAATTACTTTAATAGGGCCACACAAGTGAGTCAATGACAGCCAAAAATACAAAACTCAAGCTTTCTGTCTAGGGCACACTCTCATGGACTGTACTGCATCTCTGCAAGTATTAGCAGAGGTATGTTTTATATATTTATGCATCTCTTCTAGTCATCATATTGATGCAGACACAAAAAAAGTCTGTGGTGAATCATTTTCCTATGTTGGGACTCCACTCTCTCTCTCTCTCTCTCTCTCTTCCTCCTCACTCTGAGGAAGTCAGATCTCTGACCAATCTCTTTAGACATTTTCCGTGTCCAAAAATAGTTTTTCAACCAGATTTTAGAGAACAACTGGAGTATGTCAACTAGATTATCATGTCCATTTTAGAGAGGCTTGGGATCATTTCTAAAATAATAATTGCTTACCTTAATAATGAACAAAGAATGAAAATTTATGTCAGCTGAGTTAGTGGCCTAAGGGCTGGATTTGCAGTGAATGATATTCAGCAAGAATGGTCTGATCCAAGGCATAAACACCCAGTAAGGAAACACCAAAGACTTCAACTATGAAAAGCATGAACAGGCAGCAGCTATATCAAGTACTTGCTGCCAATTACCTTTATAATTGCAGGGAAATGCCAGATTTAGTTTTGAGTTTCCTTCTTTATCTATGGGCTTTTGAAATGTTAGTGCATTTAATGGCAGACAATACAAATACCATGAGAGATTTTTTTTAAACATAGTGCTCTTGATCTTTGCCAGCTGTCGAGTCAAATTTGGCTTAAGCTTATTTCTTTCTGTACAGCCTGTAAACACTGTGGATTGTAAAATGAATAGGGCACGAACCCCATTTCAATTGCAGGCTGGGATTCCCCTATGCTTTTACAGGGAAACTTTGTTGATAACTGTGTTTGCTGTTGGTGAGGCCTGGAGACCAAGCCCATGGTATTTAACCTTTGAATATGAGAATATCACACAGGCTCTAAAGTCAAACCATTAACATAGGGAAGGAGAAATAAATCATAATAAATAACAAAAGTTTGTTTTTTCCTTTGCCATCACTCAACAACAATTGTATGTTTTCATGCATAAACACCCAATGCTCTTTTGGGTTTTTTCCTTTCTTGTAGTGGAGAGAAGTACAGTTTATGGTATAGTAGTGAAACCTCAATATTGCCTTACCCAAGGCAATGTAAGGATATCTTGTTGAATACTCACAGTAAATTAAGAATGATTCATTAAGTTGTAATCCAAAAGTGCAGGATGAATGGTTTTAGATGACATACCTGAAAACAGTTATGTCATTAATTCCCTTATAAGTACAATCAATGCTTTATACTCTGGTAAGAGTACCCAAGGAGATCAAAACTGCTTACAAGTATTCAAGGGACATATCCACTTTAACACCTACTCTGGTGGTCAAAATGAAAAGTTTCAGTTATTAAATCTATTCAAAAGTTTCTGAAAATACAGTTTGAATAATGCTGAAAAATGGAACTTAATTCCTTTTCATTCCCCTATTGCTTTATGAGGAATGACATAACATGACAGTTGACTCTACAAGAGAGAAATCCACTATCCAAACTTACAGGAGAATGTCATAAAGAAAAAAAAACAATTTTCTATAATACTGACTTGTAAAAATAGCAGCTACAGAAAACTTCTGATAGTTTTAAAATTGCAATATCTTGTTATCACATTATGACAGGTCACATTTGTGGCCTGTTGTGCCATAGCAGAAGGCAGCACATGTATATTGCACATATGCAGACAAATTGCAACCCCAGGTTACTGTCCCTATAAAGACCATTGAGTTATAAACTATGGATAACATAAACTGCTCCCTTTTAAAATAACTCAGGTAGGTGACAAACTGTGGCTGATTATGTAGGGCTGATTTTATTTGCAAAGGAAAAGGAAGAAGGAGTGTTCTCTAACAAGCTAGTTATAAACCTCTAAAGTTCATGCAGCTAAAATGCTTTGCACTAGATTGAAAATGCTGTGCTGGCACTAATTTGTCCTGTTGAGATCATTATTGTTCCCAGTGAGAAAACATTTTTGTCTTGAAAAGTCATTAATGCATTCAAGATTCTACTGAATACAACTAGCAGAAATATTACATAGAGAACTGAACCGAACCCCATCTTTACCATCAAAATGATTGATTGATTGATTCTGTTATACTGGAAACAATATATTTCTGCTGTAATATTAAAAAAAAAAAAAAAGTAGGCACCTTTCTTAGTTGTCCAACCTTCAGTATAGGAAAAGTTGTCAATTTTGAAGGCAAAGAAAGGGATCCAGTCTAACAAACCTCCAGGCTGTGTCTATACCTTAGGCATCTAGTGAATCAGTCTATATAATATACATACATACCTAAGATATGACAGAGAGAGATGCCCTTTAACATTCCCAGACTATCCCCTAGACTGAATCCTGCTGAAAACAAAGTTGCTTTTGTTTTTCACATGCTGAGTGTCATAGTCATACACTCTTTGAAGAAATAAATTAGAACGGTAAATCATTTCTATTTTACACTCTCATTTCAGCAGACCAAGGAGCTTTTATTCTTTTAAATGCATGAGGGTTTGAATTCATAAATGTAAGTGCATACAAATTCTTGAAAAGTGCTCAGGTACATCAAAAGATTAATCTCTTATGACTATATTTTAGTATTCTAGAAACATTATCTAAGTGGATAAATACTACAGAATTTGAATGTGGGTGTATTAAACACTGTTATCTAGAAAGGGGTTGGGTTTTTTCAGCCTCAATTTTTTAAGCCTCTTCAATCCTGATATTTTGTAGGGTACATGTATAAAATATAGAGTTAATTGCTGTAACATGCACTAACTTAATATCGGGATTGTACCACCACATGTAAACAGTCTTTACTGTGTGTCATGCCTGTCCTACACACTGACATATTCTGTCTGTTCAGACAGCCAAATTCTTTCATGCCATCAATTCCACTTCTCTGTAGCAAGTACATAGTTATCATCCTGTACTAAGACTAAAACTCAGATTACTTATTATTTTATTCTTTTTTTAATGTATCTTTCCATGTATTCTTAGTTTCAGTATGCAAACAGAAGGATAATACCTCCACACTGCCCCTTTGTGGGGGTATTTGGAAACATACACAACTCAAGCTATCACAGAGATGGTGTGATTCACACTCCACTTTTATACACATACATAAGTCATTAAATTTAATGTTGCGTTCACTCCACAAAATGAAAAACAGGTTTTACTCTTTCTCAAGCTTAATTCATCTTTTCACAGGAAATTCAGTGTTGTGTATATTCCTAAAATAACTAGTAACTTCTGAAACCTCCTGTTCCTCCCTCCCTCACCTCTTTGGCACCACTGCTGTTGTGAAAAATTACTCTCCAAAGTACTAAATATGAGTGAAATTTTTTTTTTTTTCAAATACAAAACCAGATTTTAAAAGCTACTAAGAGTAGCTGAAAATAGTGTAAGATGCATTTTCTCACTCCCTTCCTAACAGTCATCTGTGCCACTTTGGATGCTTAGTTCAGCATGACAGGAATACAGAGTGAATGTTCAGGATAGCTGAAATATTTTTCCATTTTTGCTTTCTTGTTCTGCTTAACATTATTTTAGCAGCATAGAACTACTGTATTAGTAGATAGCAGATAGTAACAAGCAAGAGATTACCTGAGAACATAGAAGTCCACATTCTTCAATCCTGGGAATAATCTGACAATCAAAATTCCAAAACAGAGTCATTAGAAGAATCTGAATATTAATACTTATCATCCTAAATTAAAAACAAACAACCAAAAAAAACCTCAGAAGAAACGTTCTGCTCTGACAATTCTCCCTCTCATGTCAAAACTTTAATATGAATTTTAGTCCCTCCCACAGCACCTCTGAGCTCCTCCCTCTAAAACTTTCCAAAGGCAGAAATTTGCTAGTTGTGGGAAATACAAAGCATGTTCAACTCATTTCTTACAGCTGTAGTGAGAAATGGGAAATGTGAATTTCTGATGATCACAGGGAAAGCTTTTTCCTTCTTGATTTCATCATGTCTGCTTTAGATCAGTTTTAGCAACATTTCAACTTTTTTTTTTTCCTGTAAATTCTATGCATAAATGGGAGTTTATTTACAGAGTGATGTATCAGGCATGTTCACTGGAATCCAAATGCATTCTTAAGTCTACTTATTTTACTGGTTTTCTAATGCACTGAATAAAATGGAAAACAGCTTTGCTGAGGTGCATAGTCTTGGAAGGCTGTTTTTTTGTTTTGCAGCAGCAGCAAAACCAGATTCTTTTACACTAGTAATCTGTGCCTTGAACTTATTTCACTTATTGTTTAATTGTATCAACAGAAGCTTCTTGTTCTATAGACTATCTCCAGAGTCTACATTTTGAACACCCTCAGGAAGTATCCACACTTTGCCAAAGAAGCTGAACACAACCAGCTCTGAAAGCAGGACACGAGTGAGTCACACCACTTCAGTACCTGTTAGCATAACAAAATGCCCAGGAATG